CTGTCCACGAACCCAAGGACCACGAGGCAATCAAGGCCATGGACGTCTCAGAGACGTACAACAAGCTTCGAAAGGAGATTGCTTCTCTCGACGGACCCGAGGTTCTCGGCCAGGGTTACTCCTGGGGTCACGGAGAAGCTACTTTTGGCCATCTCATGGGTGGCTACGATGCTGGATACTACGGCTATCTCAGGTATGTCTTACCTTTAACACAACACCTAGATAAATACTAACATGACCTTACAGCTCCCAAGTATACTCCACCGACATGTTCTACACCGTCTTCAAAGACGACCCCATGAACAAGAAAGAAGGCCGTCGCTACCGCTACTCTGTCCTCGAAAAAGGAGGAAGCCAAGATGAAATGACTACTCTCAAGGAGTTCCTCGGCCGTGAACCAAAGCCAGACGCTTTCTACAAGGAACTTGGCCTGGCCTAGACTCCTTATACCCGCCCCTCTTCTTCCGTCCGTCTACTTTGCTTCAAACTAAGCTCGAGTTAAGTTATCGTCACTTTATACATCCTCTTTTTGAGCTTTTACATTCGCCTCCATAAATTTATGGCATGCATGTTCTACCGGTGCAAGTTCTGCGGTTGGGTTGTTGTTCATTTAGCTTAGAGCTCATAACTAGCTAGTTAGTTTAGTCGTTATATCCGATGGTCAAGCAAGTTGCCTTACTCCCCTCTCTCCTTTCTTACTTCCGTACAGCGTCATGCCGCCTTCTGCAGCTTTGCTCCAGCTCCAGCAACTAAACTAATTACAGGCAGGATAGTGCACTCACGCTGTGTGTAGGTTACTATCTAAACCCAGCTTGGTTGTTTGTTTGTTTACTCAAATAGAGAAAGGAAGGTGCATTTTGTACTATGGGAAGGTTCGATGTTGATGTTTATTTACATCTCAATTTAAACTTTCATGTAAACTTAAATTAAAGATAGTACGAACTCAATTACTAATTGAATCACGAATCACGTGATTATCAAGGTTCCAACCTTTACTTTGAGGGAAAAAACATCTACAAAGTACATACACCCTAACAACGGCAGACCAAACCAGCAACCAAGGAGAAATGACAAGTCAAGAGCAGGCGTTATCACTGTGGCCAAAAATGGATTGAGGCGCCGATATCAAGCCGTTGAGTCAAAAGATTTGGAATACCCCTGCAGCCACACTCGCCTCCAACTGTCACTGCCAGCATGCAGAGATGATACCAACAGGCCTATTTCGTCCATTTTCACCCCACCATTTTCTTTCTTTTTTCTCTCCCTGCGGGTGGTGAACACGGCCTAGATCCAGATTCTTCTGGGAATTCTTAGCGATCGAAAACGACGAGTCTATAACCCGGCCACCCGGCGTCGACCCCTGCTGCGTGGGGTGTCACGAAAACCGCCATGGCTCTACGTTACACCTTACCGATTAGATATACCTATTGCGAGCCTATTTGAACTGTCCGATTTAGTTGATGGTGTGCCTGACATCTGTTAAAGACAGGGGTGATCATTAAGGGTCAGCAGCGCCAAAATGTCATAGCAACGTGGGCAGTGGCTTTTTTTTCTTCTTCTTCGACTGCTTGACAGATTACTGTCGGGATACCCCGATAAACACGAAGAAGGAGCGGCACGGGTGGTTGTTTGCAAGGTAGGTTGGATTCTTTCGGGGTTTGGTTTGGATGTGTGACTTTGAAACTGTATTGGTCAAAGGCTGTTGACCCGCTACATTGATTGTACATAACGCGGGTATCTATACCTGTGGCCCAACAACTAGGTAAGTTATACCTTGTGACATAATGATATAAAGATCGCTTGGTATAGATACTACCAAAGAATCTAGACACAACGCCAAGTAAGGCTCAATAACATATATACGCATATCAATCTTCCACTTATCAGAGGGCATAAATATATTACTTGCAGAGAATCTATTATCCGCATCCATTAATTTCTGTATTTTCTTATGGTGTAGAGAATACTCAATTGCATTTAATAAACGGCGTTTCCCAAAATGGTCTATGGACGATTTGACAGTCACGTGACACAGCTATTCAACCTGCAGCTTTGAACTTGTTGAACAAGCAAAACAAGACAGAGAAGTCCAATTCCTCACTGAAGCTGTTTGGGTATTGAGAAGTTACATCAGACCAGTCGGTTTGAAGATATAATGGCGACTACCGCATCCCGGGACTCTCCCGCTCGAGAATCGCCCACTCCGCAACAGCAAGAGCTCAATGCAGAACAGTCCAAAGCCAGTCAACCTCGAGGCCGCATACCTATAAGAACCTACCATTGCCGATTCTGCAACCATCTTCTCGTCGCATCAACACAAGATCTCTCTACGCTTCCTCGAAGACGTGCTCCAGCTTTAGACAATGCGATAATACTCCCTCTACCGAAGAAGTCTGCCAGCGCAGAGGATGAAGATGACAATGAAGAGGAAGAGGAAGAGGAAGAGGAGGAGGAGGAGGAGGTCAAAGGTAAAGAGCACAACGAGAAAGACTCGGGAGAGGCTGAGATATCACAGCAGATGGAATCAGCTACGTTGAAACCGGGCTCGAGGAAAGGGAAGTCTTCTGCTTCCTCGTCTTCATCGCAACATTACACGATTTTGTTGTCAACAACTACACCGGATAGAAAACCGATTATTCTACGGAGAGCAGACGGGTTTGAGAAACGGCTACTGGTCCGGTGTGGTCGGTGCAAGGTCGTGCTTGGATATGTTCTGGACGAGGTTCACTTTAAGAAAGCAGAGGATAACAAGGGTGGCGCTGGGGGGACGACAGAAGGGGAAGATAGCAACACCTCCGGCGCAGGAGAACCAGAGGTGATTTATATCCTTCCTGGCTCACTAGTTGAGACAGATGAACTGGGCACTGAGATTAAGATTGAGCGGGAATCCTGGGCTGAATGGGAGTCTCTTGCAAAGAAAGCTGGGTAAATGAATGTTCACGAAAGTAATGATCTGTCGGTTTTAACAAGAAGTTGATATTACGATTTCCATAAAATAAAGGCCCAGACACCGATCTCTACCGCTTATCACCAAAGAAAGATACTCTTCGACGTCGTGTGACAGGATGATTTCTGGACTCCCTCCCTAGCCATAAACAAGTTGTGAAAATAAATGATATATTCGTGACACGTAAAACACCGAGGCCGGAATAAAAGAGGTTTTGAAAGGGATGGACAGTTTAGTTGGCGAGAATCGTTCGGACGAGCTCTGTAGAAGCTCGTATATTAGTTGCTTGTTCATTCACTTAAAACCCAAGAAGATACCTTACCGGTGTAGTTTATTTCGCCGGAGCTGGTGTCGACGGCCTTGAGGAGCTCGTCGACCTCTTCATCGGACATCTTCTCGCCGAGGTTGGTCAAGACTGTCGCAAACCCCGTTAGTACCGGCTATTCCTATGATATAGCAGTAATTCTTACTGTATCGAAGCTGTCCAACACCGATGTAGCCAGTCATGTCCTTGTCGAAGACCTGGAAGCCACGGCAGTACTCCTCTGGCTCTCCGGGGTCACGGAATCCACCAGGTCGGTTAAGCACTTTGGAAAAGGCATCGAAATCAACTAAACCGCCATGTATCAGCTTTTATTTTTGCCCTTCCTTCAGTCACCAGCCAGTGTATCAACTCACAGTCTCCGCCAATTCCCTTCTCCAGTTCGCTGATCTCAGCGAGAGTTGGGTTCTGTCCGCATGCCCGCAGCAGATCGCCTAGTGACTCGAGGGCAACACGGCCGGTTCCGCGCTTATCGAAGAGGGAGAATGCTTCCTTGTAGTTTGTAGAGGCCTTGTCGCCATTGTTATGGTTCTCGTTAGCCGATGCCATGATGATATACTGAATTTACCGACTGGTGCTTGTCTGGTTTCTTGGGGAATAAATTCGCTGGTTCGTCTTTCAAGCGAATTTGCGAGGATGGGCAAAAGAGAAGTCTCTTATTCTCCGAGAGCCACGTCAGGGTGAATTCGTGAGACAACCACACGAAACGAAACGCAGTCGCAGGCTGTATCTTCTGGCAAGTCGCAAGGCAGTCCCGTTTTTTTTTTTTTTTTTTTGTTTACTGTGGCGACGCAGCCAGAGGCAGACAAGACGCTGTTTCTCGTTTCTTGGGTGCGGCGAGCGGCGAGGGAGGGCAAGGGGGAGCAAAAGAGCATTTTCACGTACCATGGTTCTGCGTGCTTGTGTTCCCGAGTTGCGTAGGCGACGAGGATGGAGGGCAGAGGGTTCAAGATGTGTTCTTTTTGCTTGCTGGACAGCTGGACGTGGATGGCGATGGTGGTTTATATGTCAGGGACAGTGTTTTCGGTCTGTCTTCTGCTGATCTGCTGCTTTTTCCTCTCTTATCGCTGCGGCCAGGCCAGCCGTCTCGTTGCCATGGGAGACGGGACGCCACTAGCAAGCCCCTGACCAACGCATACACCAGGGCTACGACTCCGGGAATACAGTACTCTACAGATGAGGCCGAAGAGAAGAGAGCTGGAAGATAGAGAGCGTCGACGATGGTGGTATAGTTATAATTACAAGAAGTTAGGGGGTCGGAAAGTCGAGATAAGACTGTATAAACAAACACCCAGAGAAGATGAAGAAGACGAAACGAAGACGTAGACGAGAAAGACAGTCCAGTTCAACTGAATAGCAAGTCGATAAGAGAAAGGAGAATCTTCATGAAGTCCCAATAGCAGTTACCAGTCATTACCTTTTTTTTTTTTGTAGCCCCGAGTTCCCTTGGGTCAAAAACATGCGCCCTCAATATCCTACTTCTAAGCGCTAGAGACACAGAACAAACGAAAGAGGAGAGCAAAACAAACACAAGGAAGCAGGAAAAGCAGTTGAGCAGCGCTGGAACGGAAAAGGGAGTCGCTTAATGAGGTGGCGGTGTGAAGAGGGTGTAGATGTATATGGTGATGATGACTTTTGTTGGTTGTGAGTATCAGACGAGACCAGATGTCCGTAGATATATGATAAATTTAGGTAGGTAAATAGATAAATGGATAGTAGATAGATCGTTGTTCATGAGCTTGGGGCGATGGTGATAGAAGAGCCCTTGAGCTTTTCGATACAGCTTCCTAGGAGGTTGGCCGCTTCGTGGAGCAGCTCCCATCTGGTGTTGAGGAAGTCTGCCCTCAAAACCATGAGAAGTCCCATACACCGATTTCGATCTCGGATCTTCTCAAGGTCGTTCGGGTGATGGACGCCGCCCACTCGTTCGAGGTAGACATACATGTCATGTCGTTGCTGCTCGGGCGTGGTCAGTTCTGGCGGTGATGGGCGGATGGGACCGTCCAGCGCAAAGCCATATGACCAGACGACCAGGGCGGCAAAGTAGAGAACCCACGGCCGGCTCATGATAAAGTCCTCTCGCGCGCAGTACTCCTGTACATTCATGCTCGATCCAGTCACTTGATGGCCTGGCCTTGCATGGTTATTCCGCAGCAGGACCTGTGACAGGAACTTCAACGCAAAGAAAGTAGCGTCTCGAGCCGAGTCCTTGTTGGCCCATCGCTCGACCATTTTCTCTTTTGCGCAGCTGAAGTCTCTAGGGGTGATGGCTCGTCCGAGCAGCCGGGCAGCTCCAGCAAATATCTGGCAGTCGACCACGTCGACATGAGAAGCCATATGAGCAAGATGGTGGAGGACGTTTCTTGTCTCAGAAAAGACATCCTCTTCAAACAGGTTCTGCTGCCGTTGCTGGTACCCACCGGACGACGAATAGCTGCCGGTAGGTGGGCTGGGGTCATTGGCTAGAGATTCATCAAAGTCTCGCTTCCAGTTGTCGAATGCTCGGAGCATGGAGGACCTCCACTTGTCTCTGAAGCCAGGTACTTGAGAGACACCCAAGGAATTAACTTGTAGATCTCGCTGGTTCATGTGCCAGCTTACACTCAGCAACCCGGCCATTATGATTGTTCGACCAAAGGCGTTAGTTCGCACCGTCTGGCCAGTCAACGTCTTCTTTAACCCTTCAAGGAACATCGTCGGTTTGAAACCGCTAGAATTGAGCCGTAACTGTACCTTCGCCGCTTCGGCAGGGCAAGGAGCAGACCAGAGACTCTCGTCACAGGGCAGCGGCAGCCTCATTTCGTGAGCGGCCATCTTCACCGAGTGTCCGAACATAGTGGCATGGGTCGAATCCAAGACAAACGCAGCAAATGCAACCCTTCGGGTCCCCTCCGATTTTATCCAGCGCAGCCATGATTCGTCAAAGTGGACTGGCTCAGAGCTGCCGGAGGATGAGGGGACTCCTGGGCGCTGTCGGTTGTCCGAGGGAGACGGAGGCGAGTTGAAGGCTGTCCGGCCTATTAGGGAGCTACCACGGCGCATCAATGTTAGTGTAGTATCGTGGTGTATGTGTGCTCGTTCATGTAGCTCTCGTGTGGAGTACATCTTCTCATATGTCTCAAGAAGTAGCAGTGTTTGGAAGACCCAGAGCTTTGCTGGTGGCCTGAAATCGGGATCCATGAATAATTCCCATCGCAGATGAACGCAGATGAAGTTCGCCAGCTCTGATGCCGTATCAGTAAATTGCTGACCACGGTTGTTATCCAAAGTAACAGCTCCAAGGGCCATTACAGCGAAGAGCAGGAGATTAGGTGTTTTATCTGGTGTAAAGGTGTGTTTGTGCAAGATAGGCAGTTGTGCATGGCAATGGTACCAATAGGAACTGATATATGTCTGCATCATGCGCAGACTGAGTATGTGGTTGTCTGCATCCATATTACCCTCCATGAATGTCTCCTTGCGGCTCTTCAGTGAGCCACTGCCGGATTCATTGAACCTCGTCTGTATTAGATCTAGCAGTTCGCTTCGTTTCTCTTCTGACATGACGGAGTATGGAGGCGCCGAGTCAAGAATACTGGTAACGCTCATTGGATGATGTTGCTGCTGTTGTTGCTGGGGATTCCCAGTAACGTACCCTGATATGGCAGTCGAATCCGTAGGGTAATATGGATTTTGGATCTGTCCGGAGAAAGGGTCAAGGTAGTTGGGCATTATCGTTGATACTGCAGGGAACCCAGCAGCGGATGATGTATTCGAGCTTTCATTGAAGAGCCAGGCTGTGAAGTCATCAGTCAAGGCAAAGGGAGAGCGATTCAATATCTCGCTGCCAAATACCGGCAGGGCATATGGCCCTACTGAGTCCATGTTGGATACCGATGTTTCCGCGTGAATGGTCGTTGGCATAGAGGTCATCTGGCTTAAGGTGCTGGCCAGATTTGCACCAGACGAAGACTGGCTGTGGGACCTACTCAGGACAGAGCCTGTGAAGCCAGAGTCAGGGAGGACAGCCGGCATATGCATGTTCTGGCTCTGTGGCATGTACGTGTTAGTAGCCATGCCGTTTGCCAACAAGCCGGACGGCATGCCAAATGGAAACACGGTATGGTTCCCGGCAGGACTCGATATAGACTGCTGCCGTGACTGTACAGATTCGGACGCAACAGACGCCCCGGGACCTATCTCAGTGGTCCCGTTCAGGGGAGATATCGAGTATGATGGCTGGGGTGTGTTATTATGTGTATTATTAGTAGTTTGGTTGTATGGCTCGTAGTTCGAGCAATTTGGTTCACCGTAGACGGCCTTTTGCTGCGGAACAAGGTATCCCCCCGTATTTCCATCTGACTGCCGCCGTATAGAGTCCGCACTGCCTTTGTGATATATGCTCTGGGGTGTCTGTAATGGTCCGGCATGGAGCTCAGTAGGAGTACCGGCACCAGCACCAGCGCCAACAGCGCCAGCACTAGCAGCAGAGCCGGCCATGTTCGAGGCCAGGAAGCCCTGAACAGATATGAAGCCATTGCTGCCGGCACCGTTGACAGGCTGTTCAGCTATCCGCGAGTGCGGAGGCATCGATCCTGCTGGTGACCTGGCCTCGCTGGCCGGCTGCGAGAGGGCCGGGTTGTTGCTTGTATCTCTGGCAGACGACGGCGAGCCTGCGCCCGGGCCCTGAGTAGCAACATGATCGCGCTTCTGCAGCTGCGAGCCGTGGGTATTATGGCGCTCCTGGTGCCGGATGCACAGGTCCTGGCGAACAAAGGTGCGGAAGCAGTTGGGGAATTCGCAGCGATATATTTGTTTGGGCGAGTCTTTTGCGAAGTCACGATGTCAGCTCAACGTCAACGTCAACGTCAAAATGTCAACAACCTCCACGACAAACACCACAAAAACACCCCGACATGTACCACAGGAATGCGCAGCCAGAGATACGTACGATTTAGCTGATGGCGATACAGATGCTCTGCTCGCGAGTAACTCTTCCCGCAGCCCTTGTGCTTGCACTCGAACTTCTTGCCCGTGGCGGCCTTTCTGGTGCGCTTCCGCTTCTTGGGCGACCCGTCCGGCTTGACAGGCGACTGCACCTCGTCTGACGGGCTGTGAGAGCTCGGAGGACTCGGCTCCAGTTCTTGCGCCGGTTGACGTTCCTGGCCCTGGGTCTGGGCCGGTGCCTGTGCCGGTGCCTGAGCCTGAGCCTGAGCCTGAGTCTGAGTCTGAGTCTGAGTCTGGCCCTGCTGAGCCTGAGTATAGCGGTGCGCGGTGACGGCGGAGAGAGCGAGCGGGTCGGCGTCGACAAACATCGTCATGGCGACCTTTACTCTACCTCTGCAAGCTCGACTCTAGATGCAGTCCGGGAGAATGACATGACCCACCCTCGCCCAGGATGAACGCAAAGACTCGGGACGCTGAAGGTAGACCTGGAGCTGCTCTGCGCGATGGCGCTGGCATCGGCCGGATGACGAAAACAAAGACGACGAGGACGAGGCCGGAGACGAGACAACGAGGGGGATGATGTGTGTGAGTGTGTGTGTATATGTGGTGTGATAGTGGGTAACTAAAAAAGGGCCGCTGCTTCTGCACGTCTTGATATGTATGGACGGCGTCTTGGGGACGGCTCTTTTTTCTTTTCCCCGGGCCAGTTAACTACAACAGCCTATGCGTCGTGCGTCACCAGTGCGAGCAGTGGAAGAGCGAGAGGGAGAAACGGGGTACGGGGTATACTATTATCAGCCAGCTGGGCGCTGGGAAAGGGGCAGAGTCAAAACACGACAAGCAACAGACGACGGCAGATTTAGTAGTCGTCGGGGCACTGGAGATGAACGCCGAAGAGACAGGATGCTGGAGAAGCCAGCCCAACGAACTGTTTGGCCTCCATGTGGGATGATAGATGAGGCTTC